GTATTGGCAACCAATGCTGGGTCCTCTTGAGAAACAGCTGGTGCTTTTAACTGCTAAGTCATCTATCCCATCTTTCAAATTTGCTTTACAGCTCTGACTGACCTTGAAATTCTAAGCCTCACTGTTGTGACTGCAAATGTGCACCATGACACTTGGTTTATTTAGTACTGGGGTTCAATCCAGGATCTGTGCAAACTAAGCAGTGACTCTACCAACTGAGTCACATCCCCAAACCAGTAGCAGTGCTGTGTATTCGATAGTTCATACACAGTGCTGCCATTGTCTCAGTGTCTGTCTGGATTTTTTCTTTTCCTTAGAGTTGGGCTGCACTGAGTTGCCATGTCTTTAAACCCATTTGGTCTTCAGACGCTCCTGGATCTTTTTTCATTTTGCATGACACTGATACTGGTAGAGAGCACAGACCATTTATCTAGTAAAATAATCTCAAAGTAGGTTTGTCTAATGCCTCTTCATGTTTAAGTGAAAACTTACATTGCATTGAGGACACTGGAATTGTTGCTGTGATGCTTTTGGGAAATCACATGTAGTTGAAGTGACATATGGCTGCCTCCCACTAGTGAGGTTAATTTTGTACTGTACAGAGTCAACACTGTGTTTGCTTATTGATTATGTCATACTGTAGATACTTAGTGTTCTTTACCGCTGAAACATATCTCTAGCTCCTGTTTTTCTTTTAAAATTAATTTTCATTTCTGTTTTTGATCTTGCCACCTAGCTCTTGGCTGGCCTGATAATCAGTATATATCCCCAACTGGTCTAAAATTTGGTGTCCCCCTGCTCTATGCATGTTTCTTATCAGATATTTGATGTACAAACATATTCTTCCAAACTGTGGCTGCCTTTTTATTCTCTTGATAGTGTCTTTAATACCAAAACTTGAAAAAATTGAAACAGAATCTCATGTAGCTCAGTCTGGCCTTAAACTTAGTATGTCAACAAGGATGACCTTGAATTCATGGTCCTCCTGTCTACCTCTCCAGTACTGGGATTATAAATATATGCCAACACCATACCTGGTTTATGTAGTGTAAACGATCAATTCTAGGGTCTCATGTATGTAATGGCAAGCCTTCTGTGAAGTTAGCTACATCTTCATCTTCAGACCCCATTTTTTCTTTCTTTCTCTTTTCTTTCCCTCCCTTTTTCCCTTGAGACAGAATCTCACTATGTAGCGTGGCTTTTGTGAAACCCAGTATGTAAATCTTATGACAGTGCTCAGAAACTGCATGAGTGTGAACATTCCTGTGCATGCTGCCAAAAGAGAGTGATCAGACATAGTACAGACATAGGCAGAATACACAAAAATATGACAACATATGACAGGGCTTAGAAATTGTATGTGTGGGAACATATGTGTATACACTGACATGTGACCATGAATAGATATTTCATGCCTGTGAACATTCACATTCATGCCAACATATGACAATGTTTAAAAACTGCATGCATTTGAATGTGCATACAGGCTGACCTGTAACAGAACCAGGTAATACATATATGTATGTGAGCCAGAGGACACATTTGTACAGCTAGGGAATGCAGGTACATGTGTACCTACACATATACACCTATCTATTACAGAGCTAGAAAATACATGTGTTTATAAAGTTGCAGATATTGACCTATCTATGGGAGAGCTAGGTTAGGGACTGGGGTTAGAAGTTAGGGGTGGTTTATTGTTAGATGCTAGAGGTTAGGGTTAATTTTAGGGTAGGCACAAGATTAGGATTCTTATAGTAGGTTAGGGTTAGAATTCTGGTTATAATTCTGGTTACTTTGACTTTTCTGGTCCTGATTGCTTTAAGATGTAGGGTTAGGTTTAGAGTTACATGAGATTTGGAGTTAGGGTTAGGGATAGAGTTTGTGTTGGGGTCTGGGTTATCACAAGGGTTAGGTTTGTCATGGTTAGGGTCAGTATTAAGGTCATGGCTATGGTTTTAGTATAGTTGGAGCTATGCCTAGAGCTAGTGTTACAATTACATCGGGAAAGGGGATTGTTACAGTTATGAATATGACCGTTATTTTGCTCTTACATATACGTTTAGGGTTAGGCTCATGGTTTTGATTAGGATTCAGTTTAGTATTATGTCTAAGGTTAATGTTAGGGTTAGATTTTTGGAACATGTTAGTGTAATAATTATTGTTAGGGTAAGTATGCTGGCTAGCTAAATGTCAACTTGACACAAATTAGAGTCTTCAGAGTGAAGGGAGCTTCAATTTAGAAAATAACTCCGTAAGATTGGTGGTAAGCTAGCCTGTAGGGATTTTCTTAGTGATCCATGGGGGAAGGGCTCAGCCTATTGTGAGCAGTGCCACCCCTGGATTGATGGTTCTGGGTTTTTTAGAAAGCAAGCCTAATAGGCTGTGAGGAGCAAGCCAGTAAGCAGCATCCTCCATGGCCTCTGCACCAGCTCTGCCTCCAGGTTCCTGCCCTGCTTCAGTTCCTGCCCTCACTGCTCTTGATGATGGAACTGTGAGTGGAATAACCCTTTCCTCTCCAACTTGCTTTTGATCACAGTATTTCATCACAGCAATAGGAACTCTCTAATTAAGACAGTAATTTAGGGGCTGGAGAGATGGCTCAGAGGTTAAGAGCACTGGCTGCTCTTCCAGAGGTCCTGAGTTCAATTCCCAGCAACCACATGGTGTTTCACAACCATCTGTAATGGGATCTGATGCCCTTTCCTGGTGTGTCTGAAGACAGCTACAGTGTACTCATATACATAAAATAAATAAATCTTAAAAAAAGACAGTAACTTAGGCTTAAGGTTATAATTAAGGGTTAGCATTTGGTTTAGGTTAGGGCTAAGGTTAACAATAAGACTATGGTTAATTTTATATATAGTGTTCTGATTAAGGTTACATTTCTTACTATGGTTTAGAATAATGGCAAGGGTTAAGATTAGACTTAGCAATAGGGTTAGAATTACGGTAGGGTTAGAATTAGTATTAGGGTTCTGGTTAGGGACTATGGTTAGGTTTAGCATTATGCTTAGGGGTTACCACTATATTTAAGCATAACTAGCCCTCAACTCTAACCATAATCCCTAACCCTTAACCTGATTCTGACCCTCAACCCTAAGCCTAACTATAATTCTAGTTCTAACCCTAACTTGTTTTTGAGACATCATACCTCTATGTAGCTCTGACCAGACTGTGACTGTCTATGTAGAGCAGTTGGAGCTCAAACTCACAGAGAATCTGCCTACCTCTGCTTCTCAAGTAGTAGGTCTCAAGGGTGTGATCACCTCAAACTGTCTTCTAAACTTTATTAAAACTACTCTTAAGCTAATCTTAGTCAAACATCCTTCCATAACACTAAGCCTACTCTAAGACCAGGCTGGCTTCCCATAAACATGTATCTGTTTAGATGTGCCTCTCCAGGGTTGGAATAAAAAGTTGTGTGCTGCCATACCCAGCCGTGTAATGAATATTAAAGCTGTCCTAAGCCCAATCCTAATTAAACTTTCCTCTGTTACACTCACCCTAAGACTACATCCTAACCCTAATTCATAATTATCTGAGCATTAACCATAACGCTAAATCCTAACTATAACCCTTCCTTTTAGGAATTGCTTCTGAGGTAATTTTTATTATAACAACAGAAAAGTAACTAAAACAGCCACATTAACATTAAACCCCAAAACGTAACCATAATATTACTCATAACCCTAAATCTAATGTCTATCTGTAACACTTGCTTTATCCCTGGCCCTAAAACTAACGTGAGTTCTGCATTGACCTAACCTTAACCCAAGCAACACTCTAACACTAGCCCTAACCCTAAGCCTCATCTTAATGCTAACCCTAACAGTATCACTAATGCTAAAGTAACCCTGGTCTTTACTCTAGTTTTAGTAGTTCACAGCTGACTAATGGGCAAGAACCCATGCCCATAAGCAGTTAACTCCCCATTCCTTTTTTTCTTCACTCCCTGGCCACCACCAACTACTTCCTCTCTCTTGATTGATCTATTCCGGATTATTTCATATAAATAGAATAATCTGTGCTGGCCTATTTCAGTTACTGTATTTCTAGGTTAATTCATGCCCTTTCATATATCAACATTTTATTTCTTTTGGTGAATAATAGTCCATCGTGTAGTTCTACAGCATTTTGTTTATCCATTCATCACCTGATGGACATTTAGATTGCTTCTGCTTTCCGGATATGGACCAACACTACAGTGAACATTCTTGCACAGGTTTTTATCTGAGCAGGCTCTCATTTGTCTTAGTTGTATATCAAAGAGAAATCTTTAATGAAGTGCCAACAGAGGTGGCCAGAAGGAAAAAACTAAAGTTGGAAAAATAACCTGCACAGGAGTAAGGCTAAGATTTAAGGTGAGCACTCATCACATACCAGGTACTATCTGTTTCACAGCTACGATCATTTCTTTTATATGCACAAGAAAGCTTATAGAAGCTAGTTAACTTGTTCACGGGCATACAAAAAGGAAAGATACAGGGTTATTTCTAAAAGTTGGTCTGGGAAAGAGCAACTCAGAAAGGGGTCTGTATACAAGGTGCTAGCGGATAGCCAGAAGAGTTTTGGATCCCCCCCGCCCCCAGCAGTGTGGAAATTGGACTTGAATCTCAGCTGAGGGTAAAGAATTTCAAACAGAATTGAACCACTGAATTGAAACCAAGTCAGTTAGCAGGTGAGGGTCACTGAGTCTCTGAGCCAGTTACACATCAAATGCATAATCAACAAAGCTGCTGTGCATCCAGGAAGTCGTCCTTTGCTCTCCTTCCCCTTCTGCCTCCCAGCTGGTAGGCCACGGGATTCCTCAGCATGGGCCCCGCTGGTACTACTTATCTCTTTTGTACTCCAAGAGTAGGCCGCCTAGGCACCTCACTCTGGCCAAACACACATCCGAACTACCCAGGAGCAGTAAACCCAAGGCTCCCTCTTGGAGGCTGCGCCCCAGGTCACGTGAGAACGTCATCACGTGACGCGAACCATGTGATTACCACAGCGCCTTGTGGGCGGTGTGGTAGCGGCTCCGGTAGTCGCTTTAGAGCTTGCAGAGTGGCGGTGTCATCGTGGTGAGGACGGCGGCCCAGGAGGGCAGGGCTGGATCCTTCGCTCCAGACTCAGCTCTTCTTTTTGTCCTTCCTGCTGTAGATGAACCGGACGAGCCCCGACTCGGAGCGGCCTCCGGGGTCCGAGCCCGTGTGGGAACGGCCCTGGTCCGTGGAGGAGATCCGCCGCAGCAGTCAGAACTGGTCGCTGGCGGCTGACGCCGGTGTGAGCGAGGGACCCGGGGCCAAGGGAGGGACAGAGTTGTGATTACCCCTTCTCGGGAACACGCATCCTCCAGTATTCAAAGACGCAGTCTCGGACACCGGGGAGGGCGGCCCAGTGGGCTTCTACCCAGCTCTCTGCCGCGCTGACGCGGGTTTCCTTCCGTGCAGAGGCTTTTCAACCTTGCCCTCCACGCCATCCTGCTGTGCAGAATCGTTTCTATCCTCTTTAAGGATTGCTCTGTCTCTACGGAGGCCTTTCTGTATTAGAACTTGGGCTAAATGGGGCAGCACATATTTTTGAGTAGAACTGCTCACTTCGGGAACCAAGAGCTCAGAAGTTTCATATAAATAGGATTTGGGGTGTTTTGTTATGTGGTCTTTGGAGAGTGACAACCACACAGGACTTTAAATCCCTCTAGAAATGTGATACTGGTTACACTGGATACACTTATCTGATGAGGTTTCTTAATGCTTTCCAGGGTCACTTGAGCTCAGATCAAAAGTATCATCCCTTTTACAGAACATTTGGGCGAAAGAAAAGGGGTTCTTTTTTGTTGTTGTTGTTGTTGATACTTCTGTATGTTTCTTTTCAAAATAGCTACTACAGTTTCTACAGGAATTCTCACAGCAGACTATCTCCAGGACTCATGAAATCAAGAAGCAGGTGGATGGATTAATTCAGGAGACCAAAGCCACACATTGTCGTCTGCATAATGTCTTCAACGACTTCCTCATGCTGTCTAACACCCAGTTCATTGAGAATGTGAGTTGTTTTATAGCCTCTGACCTTTGAATAATCCCTTGTGGGGAGTAAGAGCTACTGTAATTTATAACGATAATTAGGTTCCCTTCTGAGTTTTGTTGGATAGTTGGTTCTTGGTAACTGAAATTCCTTTCTCTGGAATCAGTGTCTTTTATTAGTAAAGTTTGTGGGTTTTACAAACCTTTAAAAAAATCTAATAATAATGTTTACCTCGTGTTGGCTTTTCTGTTTTTAGTTTTGAGGGCAATTACCATTTGAGCAGAATTGTGTGCCAATTGTGTGCCTCTCAGAAAAGCCACTGTGCTCATTTGGTATGATCAACGATATGCCTGGCTATGCCCTTGGTTGCTCCATTTTGCCTTCAGTCCCTGTAGACTTTATGTAGGTCCATTATGTTTCTATCAGTTGTATAAGAAGATGCAGATGTCTGCTTTGCATTTTGTCAACTACGGTTTTCTTTTTCTTCCTTTCCTTTTGCTTCTTCTGTTTTTTTGGAGACAGGGTTTCTCTGTAGTCCTAGCTGTCCTAGAACTCACTCTGTAGACCAGGCTGGCCTCAAACTCACAGAAATCCATCTGTCTCTGCCTCCCAAGTGCTGGGATTTAAGGTGTGGGCCACTACTGTCCTGCCAGCGCCAGTTTTCTTAATTTGGATGAATATATATGACACAGAGTCAGCAGTAAAAATATTGCTGACCTTTAACTAAAGTGTATATGAATTTTGTTTTCGTAATGAGTTCCTGTGAGCTGCTAGGAATATATAGATAAATTATCTTGGTAAAAAACTACAATAGAAAAGAAGCAAGCATGCCTGGAGCCATCTAGCAAAGAGTAGGGACCATCTTGAGAACGGGAAGGGAGCTTAGTTCATCAGATCAAAGAACGTCTTTTGAATTAATTTGTGGAAAGGCATTTTGGGGTTTTTTTGTTTGTTTGTTTTTGCTCATCATTAGTTCTGACTAGTGTAGAACTTGCTATGTAGACTAAGCTGGTCTTAAATTTGGGGAGAAATTCTCACCTCTGAGATTACAGGCTTATAGCCCTATACCCAGCAGTGAGAAGAGAGTTACCCGAGTACATAGCATCCTGAAATTGTTAGGTGAAAACTATTAAACAGAATTTCATAAATGGTTAAGGTTATAAAGCCCATGACTTGGGATTATAAAAGTACCAGAGTGCCATGTGGGCTGTTGCTGTTGTATGTTTGCATAATTTAGTAGTGCAAACTGAAGTGATAGACCTCACATTCCATCTCGTTTGAGACATGGGGTTTGATGAGGGCTCTTTGTTCACTACTGCATGTGCCAGACTACCTGGCTCATAGAGGTGGCTATGCCACCAATTCTTTTCTTTAATGGCAAAGGGAAACTCTGGGGTTTGAAACATGACATGGATTCATGTTATGTTCATGAATAACATGAACAAGTAAACCCAATACAGATGAATGTACAAATGTCTGGGATACTTGGGACTAGAAGTTGTTCAAATTTCAGGTTTTTAAGATGTAGAATCTACAGAGACCTTACAGGTTCAGCACCCCTAAGTTCAAACAGCCCGATGTCCAAACTTTTTTGAATGACATGCCACTGCTCAGAAAGTTTTGGATTTTGGAGTTTTGGATTGGCATGTTCAACCTGAGGACATTTTCTGATGTGCACAGAACCTGGCTAGTCAACCTGAGCACTTATCTCCCTGGAAGGGTCAGTTAGGGGACTATTCTCCCCTTTTTTGATGACAGGACCCCCCCACCCCCAAGCTGGATTGGATGGTTTTATGTGCTGTTCTTCTGTGCAGTTCTTTTTTTGTTGTTTTGTTTTTTTTTGTTTTTTGTTTTTTGTTTTTCGAGACAGGGTCTCTCTGTGTAGTCCTGGCTGTCCTGGAACTCACTCTGTAGACCAGGCTGGCCTCGAACTCAGAAATCTGCCTGCCTCTGCCTCCCAAGTGCTGGGATTAAAGGCGAGCGCCACCACCGCCCGGCTTCTATGTAGTTCTTATTGTGCAACTTTCTTGCTACATCAGATGCTCAGCTCTTCTTGTAGTTAATGTTGTAGCTGTAGATTGGGCAAGGAACAAATCTGGGAAGTTTTCTTTTGTACTCCATGTATCTGTACCAGACTGGTACCCCATCACACTGTTTTCAGGTGGAGGAGGCATGAGAAACGTCATTTTCTGATCATAGATTTTAATTAGATAGTCTTCCTCTTCTAGCTTTTTCTGGAAAAATTTTCTTAAAATTTCCTATAGCTTAAGTTTTGTGAAATCCTTTTAAAATTGTTCTTTATGTCCATTCATGGCTTTGTCTCCTTAATGATAAGGCCTTATTCCTCTCCCCTTCCAGTCTGCCATCAGGATCCTTCAAAAGTGTTGATGCCACACTAAATGTAACTGCTTCCAAGACCTTTTACATGCCACATGGTACATACAGCTTCTTCCTGTGTGGAGGAGCACCTGATGATGTTCGGAGTATAGCTAGTGCTTCAGAAAATGGGGGGAAAAATTAACTTCAGAAAAATGCCTATTGCATCTGTCTGCTCGCCTGTGTATTTTCTTCAAACTCTGACATTGATTCTCAAGAATTACAATTCAGGCTAGGATGCTGCTGCTATTTAGGTTTGTGAAAATTCTTTTGAGAGATTATTTAAAGTCAGTTGGGTTTTGTTAGTCTCAGAGGCAGCCTCATAATTGCAAGCTACATTTTAGAATTAGTGAAGCAAGCTGGAGTTTCTAGGGCAATAGAACAGTCAGGACTTTGGAGGGCAATAGAAGTTACATAGAATCATTAGTAAGGGCTCAAGAGGGAGTCCTGAAAGAGAATAGCTGATTAGTTCTGGCCTATGTTTTAAATTCCAAGCAGAAAGGGACCCAGTTCTTAAGGTGCCACCCCTTGCCTTTTTTGTTTTTCCCTTGAGACAGAGTTTCATTCTGCAGCAGAGGCTGACCTCAGACTCAGCAGTCCTAGTTAAGAACATAGGAGGCTTGAGGGATGAATGGCTTCATAGGTTAAATAGCACTGGCTGCTCTTCCAGAGGACCTGGGTTCAATTCTTGTACCTACATGACAGCCCACAACCACCTGAAACTCTAGTTCTAGGGGATCTATTGCCTTCTTCTGGCACATGGTGCACAGATGTATATGTAGGTAAAACACCTGCCTGTATATAGTAAATAATAAAAGACCATAAGGAACTTTTAAAAAGTTAATTAAAGAATTTTTAGCTTTGTGGAAAAAAAATTTAAAAAGAAACTTAAATTGATTTTCCAGTATCATTCTGTTGATTATAAAACCTATGTTTTCATCATTTTCTTCCTTTTCAGCCCCCCACCCTCTTTTTAAGGAAAAAGATATCATTACTAAATTGTCATAGAGAATCAACAATTTGGGGTTAAAGTTCAGAACCTTATCAGCCCATAATCCCCTGCACATTCTATCTCCTTCTGCCAGCCTGTTTTATTTTTGCAGATATGCTTTGCTTTTGACAAAGTAGCCTCTAATGCTTTGGAGCTTCTTTTGCTACCAGGCTTTGTTTTAGATTGCTCAGTATTGATCGTTTTAGACATTAGCCAGAAAGCCTTTTCAGGTTACAGGTCTTGCCATACAAATTTGAAATGACTCTAGTAGCTGTCCTATCTTAAAATCCCACTTAAAGGTTCATGTGTTTTTATTGTTGTTGTTGCTCTCATATTGGAAATGTTTGGTATAGGACAGTTAGGAAGGAAAATTAAGAATGAGGGGCTGGAGAGATGGCACAGTGGTTAAGAGCACCTAACTGTTCTTCCAGAAGACCTGGGCTCAAGTCCCAGCACCCACATGACAGCTCACAACTATCTGTAACTCCAAGATTTGATATCCTCACACAGACATACATGCAGGCAAAACACCATTGTACATAAAATAAAACTAAGTAATAATTAAAAAAAGACCCACGTTCTATTTTGAGCACCCATATGGCTGCTAACAAACATCTATAACTCCAATTCTAGGGGATCCTAGACACTCTTCTGGTCTTTTCAGGTACAAGGCACAGACAGTACACCTGTACAGTACACATATGCACAGGCAAAGGGAGAAATAAAAGTAAACCTTAAAAAAAAAAAAAAAAAAGAAAGTAAGAACGGTTGAAGCCACCTGAAGCATCAACTCCTGGGGAGACTGGGACAAATGTTCTAGGTCTGAGTTTACACAGACATTAGGCTTAAAAAACCAAACCTACAGATAATTTACTACCTGAAATTAATTAGCCAGGGAAAATCATTTTGAATTTCCCTGTAGTCTGGATGACTGTGCATAGAACTGTGTATTTACTGTGCATTTACAACCTGCATATTTCTTAGTGTTAAAAATAATTTTTTACACAGCTTTGAGACTTTTATGAACTGATTTGTTTTGTTTTCAAACAAGGTCTCATGTAACCCAGACTGGCCTCAAATTCCTTGTGTTGCCGAGAATGGGCTTTAACTCCTGATCCTCCTGCCTCTGTCTTCCCTGTGCTGGGGTTAGAGACCACCCGGCTCTTGAATGTAATTTTATTCTTACTCCATTATTTGACTATGCCAAACATACTTTAATATTTAGCTATTAGCTTTATATGAAGTACTTGATTTGTTTAGGAAAGAATAGAGAATAACCACACATGGTAAGAATATGCAGCATCTAGAATTTTGATATTTTTCCATATTTGCTTCATAGGAACCAACTACCTCCTTTATTTCCTCCTAACTGTGATATTTTGGGGGAAGTATCCTTGTATCTCTGCATTTTTATTTTTTTATATCTTTGGAGTATATATTTATGGGTATGCGTGAGCACACATGAAGAGAGCTTTTATTGAACAGCTATTCTTTTATCACTGACCTGTATGTATGTATATGTGAACATAAACTTAGTTTTCCATGTAATTTTCATTGTTCCTTAAGTTATTAAATATTGTAATCTAATACACTTGATAGGGCAAGTTGCTTTAATTAATTTATTTTTTTTCTGTTTTTTTGAGACAGGGTTTCTCTGTGTAGCCATGGCTGTCCTGGAACTCACTCTGTAGACCAGGCTGGCCTCGAACTCAGAAATCTGCCTGTCTCTGCTTCCCAAGTGCTGGGATTAAAGGCGTGTGCCACCGCCGCCCAGCGGCAAGTTGCTTTAACAACTTGTTTTTTTCAGACAGGATCTTATTGTCTAACAGTCTTCTGCTTTAGATTGCTGAAAATCGGCCTGTAAGCATGAACCATCATGATCAACTCCTCAAAATTTCCTTTTATTCAGAAATAGTCATCATTTTATTTTTGTTTTTAAACTTCTCTCTATGAGTTTGACATATCTGCAAAGGTTGAGAATAGCCCTAACCTATGGGTATAAACATCTAGAAGGTATTTTGACTGTATCACTCTAGCAAAGACAGAAGTAGTATGAGCTCCAGACTTTATGGCATTCCCAGGCACGGGCTTCACACCTGCTTTCCATGGCATGCATGGCGCAGGCCTCAGGTCCAATTAGAAGGCAGTTGGTCATCACCAGAGCAGTCCTGCCACTCAGGTCGGTATTGCAGTATACAGAGTCTACCTCTGTGGAAGACACTGCTCATTCCTAAGCAGTTACTGGCATAGTATTTTTCAGTTCTATGAAAGTTACCCAGCAGAGAGGAAGTTTCCAGCCTGTTTCCAGCCTGGTATCTCTATGTACCACAACCAAAGTATGTAGTGTCTTCAGCAATAGAGTCTTTTCATCTAGTTGTCATGGTCACAGTTTGATTGTTCTTAATTCAAAATGAAATCAGATGAAATGCACTGAAATAAAATCTGGAACTTTGCATGCCTCAGTGTCAGGTTTTGGATTTTTAGTTAGGGTGCTCATAAAGTCTCCTATAAATATTCCAACAATCTAAAATATAAAAACTTCAGATAAGGAATATTGATTAATCATTTTTAAAATGACTTAGGTGGTTTCTTTTAAGTAGCGTAGCTCAGTGTGTTTTAATGTATTCACAAGCCTTTGTAACCCTCTTGTCTCTACAGAACATTTTCATTATCCTACATAATCAGGGCTCTAAAGGAACAGAATTGATAGGGTGGACACATATATTAAAAGGAGATTCATTAGATTGGCTTGCAGGATGTGCTCAAGGTCGTCCTATAGTGGCTGTCATGCGTTAAGACAGTGGCTCGAGAGTGCAGTAGTTGTTCACCCAGGAGCTTGCCTGTCCCAGCAGTCCTGCCTATCCCAGCAGTCCCCATCTGGAGCTGGAGGCCTGGAGGATTGCTGATCTTCAGTCTCTACTAGAATCCTGAAGAAGTTGGTTCTAGTATCAGCAAAGGAATGCCTTAGCAGCAAGAGAGATGAACTTGCTAGCAGGAATGAGCACAAGAGAGCAAAAAGCACAGTTTCCTTCTTCCATGTCCTTTTATCTGGGCTTCCACAAGAAAATGTGCTCCAGATTCTGATTGGATTTTCCTGCTTCAAATAATATGATCAAGAAAATTCTTCACAAGAGTCCGATATAGTCAAGTTGACAACCAAGATTAGCCATCATACCTACACTTATATTGGCTTTTTATAACAAATACGTTACACTCTAGTTGTTTAAAAAAATTGCAGTGAGTTTCAGGAATGACAGATATGTCTTGTAAAAGAGGTTCTTCCTTGGCCATATATCTTCTGGCAAGTTGTTGGTGGATTTTACCTTTTTTCTTTGATTCATATGAGATAAGTGTATAAAACTTTCAACCATTTTAAAGCATCAAAATAAAAGTACAGTTTAACTTTATTATTTTTCTTGCTTTGTTATTTATCTAGTCAGTAAATTATATCAGTTGATATTAGCAATGGCTTTGGGTAAAGGTACTTGTACTGTTGCCCTGTTAGAATTATGGATTAGGTTAAGTGAAAATACGTGTAGTTGGGATTATAGTGTTTTCAGAACTCTTTGATCACCAGATAGTTTCTTGTGTTTTTTAGTCATTCATGTCTTTTTCTAAAATTTAACTTCAGGTAAATTACTGTTTTGTTACTTGTTCATGACCCACTGGTGGAGGTCCTTGTTGTTTTCCAAAAAACCATTTCCATTGCTTTTATTCACTTTACATCCGATTGCTTCCCCTTCCTAGTCCCCCTCCCACAATCTTCCCTTACACTCCCCTTTCTCCTCTGAGAGGGTGGAGGCCCTCCTAGGTATCCCCCTACTCCAGCACATCAAGTCTTTGTAGGGCTGGGCCAGTCCCCTCCCACTAAGGCCAGACAAGGCAGTCCAGTCAGGGATGTATTCCATAGACAGTTAACAGCTTTAAGGATGGCCCCCACTCTAGTTGTTTGGGACCGATAGGAAAACCTAGCTGCACATCTGGTACATATATGTAGGAGGGCTGAGTTCAGCTTGGGTATGCTCTTTGGTATTTCTGTCTTTTTGAAGTTCTTTGTATTGAGCTTCTTACCTGTGGTTCCATTCCACTGCTTAACCATTTTCAATGGCTTTGCTTCCATACTTAGCGGGTGTATGATGAAGAAGTGGAGGAGCAGGTGCTCAAGGCGGAGGCAGAAAGAACAGAGCAGGTACTTGTATTAAACCTTTCTTTCTTTGAATTATTAGCCTGTGGAAATGATAAAAGGGTGATGAGAACTGGGAACATGGGAGATATGGCCCTTGGCAGTAGCCCAAGAAAACGTTTCCATTTTCCCCTGAAATTTAGCCTGTTAATACATAGATGAAATAGCTGAATTCTGGCATAAATACGGAGCAGAGTAAACTGTCAAGGTTTACAGGCCACAGTGGAAGTATCGTCTTGTCCTCCTTTCTCCCTTTTCCCTCTCTGTCCCCTCTAACCTCTTCCTACCCTTTAAAGATCAAGAAGCCACTCTTCCTCAGTTTATGCAGAGACAGGCCATATCCTGAGCTTTGGGAAATGAATGTCACAGAAGTGAGGTCTCTGAAGGCCTAGTTTCCCTGTCTCTTTTGTGATTGTTTTTATTCTTGTTTCTGTCACGTTAGCTAGGTGAATATAGGTCTAGTCTGTGTGTATTTGAGGACCCATGGGTACAAGATTTGTTAGGACAGAGTGGATTGCGCAGCGAGTAATGATTGACTCTGTCATGGGACTGCAGGGACCTGATGATTTAGGACATTTACTCTCAGAGGCTTCATTGTCTGCTGAGGCCATTGGTTATTGATCTAAACTACACTGCATGGTTGGTAAGTGTTTTTGGAAGTTCACACAAGGAGACACTTGTTGTTGTTGGCATTTTTAGGAAAGTGAATTTTCATTAATAGTACTCAGGCATTTGCTATTCAGCCAAATGACTATTCCTGTTACATCAAACCAACATTACATTTAAAAGTGGTTAGGATATAGTGAAGTGTGTTCTGAATGCCATAGGGCTAGATGTCAGAGCCTGGTTCCGTCCTTAAAGCTACAGGTAGGTTCGAGTCATTGAGCACACTCATCCACAGACGTGATTTTACTGACTCAGTTTTGGTTTGTTTGTTTCTCTTTTCTCTTCTTTTCTGAGACAGGGTTTCTCTGTGTAACAGCCCTGGCTACCCTGGAACAGTGATCCCCTCCTGCCTCTGCCTACCGAGTGCTGGAATTAAAGGCCTGTGCCACTGCTGCCTGGCTCAGTTTTGCTTTCTAATTCGAATGTTCATCTGATTTTCCAGATGAAAAAATTGGAATTCTGAGTTTAGGTTGTTTGATTGATGCCCAGAAAGTGACAAAACTAAGATTGAAAGCTTGTGTGTTGACTCCAAAGTCTGTATCAAGGCATTCAATAGAACATAACTCTGTTGACATTTTGTAAAATTTTTTGGGGAGGGCATGACTTTAGAGTTGGTATATTGGAGACACACTGAAGCATATTTTGTTTGTAGGAGAAGACTCGGGAACAGAAAGAAATAGATCTGATTCCTAAAGTTCAGGAGGCCGTGAACTACGGGTTACAGGTCCTGGATAGTGCGTTTGAGCAACTTGACATAAAAGCAGGGAATTCAGATTCTGAGGAGGAGGATGCCAATGAGCGGGTGGAACTGATCCTTGAACCAAAGGTAAAGCATTCAGTTACAGTACGGTGATGTTTTAACTACTTGGTTGGGCATGGGTTGTATAAGGCACGCGCTATGTATGTTATTAGTATTCTCAAAGTGACCCCTTCTGGGAACCTTACTTGACACACTGAGCATTTCAGGGGTACAAGGTAGGTAAAAGTTGCAGAGCATACCTCCTTCTCCTCTAAGGTTTTTAGTATATAGTCTGTGAGAGAGAAGGCATTTAAATGAGTGACCATCCTTAGAACTCTGCAAGAAAACTGACTTATAGCCAAGAAGTTAAGGGGAGGGGTGAGAATTTTAACTGGATTTGGTTTGTTTTTTAAATTTGGTTTTTTAACATTTATTTGGTTTTTAACATTTATTATTGATGCATTAGTATGGGGCATATGTGTCCCATGACACACAGCTGAGAGAGGAGAGCTGTGGAGTTGGTTCTCCTTCTACCTTTCCTTGGGTTCTGGGGAGGGAACTCTGTAGGCCTTTACCCACCCACTGTTTTGTGGCTCATTTTTATTTTAAGACTGAAGTTTTATTTATTTTAATTTTTATGAGAAAAACATATTTATATATATATATCATGTTTTGAAGTGTCTGTTAACTGTAGAATGACTTATTCTAACTTCTGCATGTGTCACATACTTAATTCATGGTGAGAACCATAAAATCTCTCAATGATTAAAAAAAATGCGTTTTTATTAACTGTAATCGTTCTGTTGTATTGTTAGCTTTTGATCTTATTTCCTCTAACTGGAGTTGGTTTTTTTTTTTCCCTTGGGATTGTAATTTAGTTAACAATGTTTCTTCCTTTTTCCTCCTTAACCTTCCCATATACCTGTCTCCACTCCTTCAAATTCATGTCATTTTTTTTCATTAATTGTTATTGCAGTCATATGTGAATTTGTATAACATTTACATTCCTAAATATAACCCGTTGAGTCCACATAGTGTCTCTTACATGTATGTTTTCAGGGGTGACCATTTGGTGTTGGAACCAATTGGTGTGTTCTTCCCATGGGAGGACTCCTTTCCCCTGCGAGCTTTCCTCAGTGCCCTGTAGTTGTGTGTGTAAGGTTTAGGTAGTGAGGCCTTTGCCTCCTGCAGTCTGGCATGTTGGTTGGTCTTGGAGTTGTCATTGCTCAGCTTATGTTAGGGCTAACTGAAGCTTTCGTGCCCTTTGACCAACCTCTCTCCCTCTTGTCTCTAGTTTTTAGGGCAAAAGGAGATTCAGGTTGGGATTAGATGAATCAGAGAAGCTCCTGAGGAGCACATACTCTGTAGCTTGTGCTAAGGAAGACTTCCTGGCAGTTACTTCTTAGACCAGGCTAGCCTTGAACTCACAGACATCTGCCTACCTCTCCCTCCCGAGTGTTGGGGTTAAAGGTGTGCACCACCACTGCCTGGTCAGATTTGACGTTTTGAAGATGTACTTTTAACCTTCCCATGCTTTCTTCTTTTCTACGTTGATTTATCACCTTAACTTGTTTTAGATAGTAGATGCAGCAGGCCGTCAAGAAGAACACTTGGCCTTATTTTCAACCCGTGTGTTTAATGGTTGTGTCCTTTCCTTGAAGGATCTCTACATTGACCGGCCTTTACCCTACCTCATCGGCTCAAAGCTCTTCATGGAGCAGGAAGATGTTGGGCTTGGAGAGCTGTCCAGTGAAGGTGCGCTCTCTTACAGTTTTTCTGTTGTGTGTCCTACAGCTTAACCTTTTATGGTCACACCATTTCAGCCCAGAGCTTCTTCCTCAGGTGTGCCCGCTAATGTTTCCTTTTGTTCTCTGTCTATACACCATAATGTGTCTGAATCTCCTTAACCCTAATGTCCTAATCTTCTCTGTGTATTTTCTCAGAATAAGGACATTTTCTTATATAACCGTGCTGTAAAGTGATCAGTTTCAAGAGACTTTATTATTAGCTAATCTTTGGTTATATTCAGATTTGCCTGTTATCCCATCAAAGACCTTTACTTCCTCTGCCTCCTTCTCTAGGCTAAGACTTAAAGCAGTTAGTTTTTAAACCACTCTAGTCACTTTTTCATTTTATTATTTTATGTTTGTTTATTGTATGTGTGTGCTCTGTGGAAGTCAGATGACAGCCTATGAGGGTCAGTTCTCTGTTCTATCATGTGAATTCCAGAGACAGAGCTCCCATCGTCAGGACTGCAAGCAGTTAGTTGCCTGCACTGTCACCACCAGTGACTTCTAATCTGATATGGTTTCCTTTTCTTCTTCTTTTATTTTTTTGTTACCTTGACATTCTTGTAGAATAAGGCCAATTTATGACTTTTTTTTTAATTCATAGGAGATACTTTGATATTCTATTCATTAAAAAGGTTCTTTCATTCTACTAAATGGGAATAGTTTCATTAAAGTCTCTTTGATGCTGTTGTGGTTGGCCATTTGGAGAAGGAGCTATAGACATTTTCTGGTGAAATTGGTGCTGACTTTTACAACTCTTTCTGACAGAAGGCTCTGTGGGCAGTGACCGTGGGAGCATTGTGGATAGTGAAGACGAGAAGGAAGAGGAGGTGAGGACATGGTCTGGCCAGGTCATGGTGGGCAGGACGCTTAGGATGCATGTCGCAGGCTAGGGATGTAACACGCTTCAGAATTAGGGAACTAATTTCATAAAACTTATGGGGCAGAATCTGAAGGGTTGAAATTCTTTTTTCTAATTTGTAGAGAGAGAAGTGAGGGAAACTGCTTTGATCCCTTTCACCGTTACTTACCTCTCTTCCTTTCTACCAAATTCCTTCACTTTCCATTATATTTTGAGGAGAGAGCAGCTTAGATATTGTATCACTGTCTCTGCCTAAAACTTAGTCTTGGACTGTGTCTGTCTTGAATGATCTTAGGAAAAAATAAATAGCTGCAATGAACAACTTTTACAAAGTTGTTATTATTATTATATGCAAATACGTACATGTGTGTGTAGTGCCTGTAGTGAGCAGAAGAGGGTGTCAGAAGCCCTAGATGTCACATGCCAAGAGCAGCATGCTCTCTTAACCACTGCGTCACCTCTGCAGCCCTTGAAGAATTTTCTAAGTCTTCTAATGAAAGCATCTACTTCATGTTCATTTGCTGGTGACTAAAAGTCTACAGAGAATAGCCTTGATCCAGAGTCTGGCACCTTGAGTTGTTCTTCAGACAATGAGTATGAGATTCTAAAAGGAGACCATTTTGTGTGTCTGATTTTCATTTCTTTATTGTTCACGCACTTGCCCTCCCTCTCCTGAATTCCTTCCTCCAGCTGGTAAATGGAAGTCCTAGTGGTAGATAGAAACTCGCCTGTTATCTTGCTGTAGATAACTGTCTTCTGGGTCCTTTGCTTTTAGCTGTCAGTGTAGTAATCATTGGTAGCAAACTGACCTTCAGTTTTTGAGTTGATAAAGTAGTTATCCTGCTAGTGAGGGCACAGAGATTGTAGTCCCAAATGTAAAGCAACACAAACCAACATCCTATGATTTAATTAAATGATGTTCTTTCTTTAAGTCTGAAGGTTAGAATTGGGAGATACAAATGATGTGAATGAATCATTAGAGCTATCTATATGAAACACAAAAATTATAGTAGCTGGACAGTTCTAGCACTGTTGCCTGAATTCATCCTGTCTGCTACTTAAGATGACTGAGGTTAGGAGCATTCCCTCTGCCTGACTCAGCCACTTATCACAGAGACTGAGAAGATCTTCTCTGTGTTAACAGCAAAACCTTTTCACCCACAGGAGTCAGATGAAGATTTTGCCAGTCATAGTGACAATGATCAAAACCAGGTAAAGCTCATGTATTGAAATGAATTCATTTTAAAGCTTTAGTTGAAGCATAATGTGTATACTAAAATTACTTTTCCTCCTGCTATTGGTACTAGGCCTTGAACCTAGGGTCTAATGCCTGTTTGGCAAGCTCTGCATGATATTTGTGTGCTAAGTCTCATTGAATGACTTTTGAGTGATACGTGAGGATTTTCATGCTCACAGTTGTGTTCCCTTAAGTATGTCATGTGTTAGGTCAGCCTCCTCCTTTGGCTGTTACCTCTTCCAAGTTTTGTTCCTTTCTTTTTTTTTTTTTTTTTTTTTTTTTGGTTTTTCGAGACAGGGTTTCTCTGTATAGCCCGGGCTGTCCTGGAACTCACTCTGTAGACCAGGCTGGCCTCGAACTCAGAAATCCGCCTGCCTCTGCCTCCCGAGTGCTGGGATTAAAGGCGTGCGCCACCACCGCCCGGCTCGTTTTGTTCCTTTCTAATAGCTCCTTTTAACCATCCCTTCTTGTTAAGACTAATTTATATTTCTCTAAAAATGAACATTTAAAAATTCTAATATCTTGCTTTGATATTTTGCTCTTATATTCTTATTAAAAAGTAAATCCTTTGTTTAGTTTCTAATAAATAAATTATATGGAATATATGTTTCCAATGTGGTCACGTTTCTAAAGGGAGAGATTAAAAATTGATAGTGTCTCCTTTTTAGTTTGGTGACTTGCATCTAGAAATTCTGTTCTACTTTCTCAGCATACCACACAGATGAGTGATGAAGAAGAGGATGATGATGGAGACCTTTTTGCTGACTCTGAGAAGGAGGGGGATGATATTGAGGACATGGAGGGAAATGCTCAGTCTGTAAGTACAGTCACCACTCAGCGAGGTCTCAGAAGATTCATGCTGCTCCTTAATGTTGACACTGCTCTTGTCGTCCTCTCACATCTGTAATGGTGTGTGTAGCCAGAGATAAACAGTAGACAACTTCCTCAGTTACGCTCCCCTTTTATTTTTGAGTCAGGCTCTCTCACTGAACCTAGGCCTTACTAAATCAGCTAAAGTAGTTGGCAACAAGCCCCAGGGGCTCTCCTCTCTTTATCTTCCCAGCTCTGAGATTACACGTACACATAGCCACTTCTAGCTTTTTTTGTGAGTGCTAGGATTCTGAACTCTGGTTCTCACACTTATGTAGCAGACATTGTGCTGAGTTAGCCACCTCTACAGCTCCTATATTTGTAACTTGATTTTCTTTCTTTTAAAGATTGTGGATGTGCTTTTGATGTATTTGTGTGTCTGTATTTGCACTCATACACGTGGATTCCTAGGGAGACCAGATGTGGGGGTATCAGATTTCTTAGAGCTGGGGTTACAGGATGTTGTAAGACACCTGACACAGGCTCCTCTCTCCTGTTCCTTGATTGGTAGTTTTATAGACAGCAGTCAGTGTCCCGGTGTCTCCACTCGCCTCATTCACACTCCTTTCCTTTAACGCTGAGGATGGTTTAGTCAGCTCACTGGGAATATGGTCAGCTCCAGAATTTTGAGATCAAATGTTCTCCTGTCTCCTTCCATATACTCATGTTAGTTTTTCTCACTGAGGTTTTTAGAGTATTTAAAAAAATAAATGACTGTATCAACTTTTAAGGAGATACTCTGTGACTCCTGTTACTTACCTGAACTTTGTAGGCTCCATGTGTTTAAATTCATTAATAAAGTCCTGTCTTTGCAAGTATATTCTCAGACACATGCATAAATAAATCTTTTTCCAAAGTCCTGTTTTATTTGTAGTTTGATTTCTTTGTGACTGTTGATAGAATTTTGTTAGGTGTCCAGAAATGTATTCATTTGTTAGAGGGTTGTTTTTTTTTTTTTTTCTTGTTTTGTTTTTTGGCCTGTAGAAGAGACCTACGTCTTTTGCTGATGAACTGGCAGCTCGGATCAAGGGAGATATCCCAAACCAGCGGAAAGAGGGACAAGTAGGTGAGTTCTGAAGGCAGGTTAATGGGGTGGATTGTGGCATGCTGTAGTCTGCCTGCGTGCCACCTCACACATGCTCTATCTCTCTGTCTCTGTGTTTCTGTCCTCCCTTCCTCCCTCCCTCCCTCCCTCCCTCCCTTCCTTTTTCTGAGACAGGATCTCATATATTTGATGCTAGCCTCAAATATGCGATGTAGGCAAGGGTGGTCTTAAACTTATCTTCTTTCCTTCTCCTGTGAGTGCTGGAGATCAGAAACATAGCCACTATACTCAAACATGGGGTTCACTAATTACTAAGGCACAATGGACTTAAATTTTAATTCTTTTTTTTTTTTTTTTTTTTTTTTGGTTTTTCGAGACAGGGTTTCTCTGCATAGTCCTGGCTGTCCTGGAACTCACTCTGTAGACCAGGCTGGCCTCGAACTCAGAAATCCACCTGTCTCTGCCTCCCAAGTGCTGGGATTAAAGGCGTGCGCCACCACCGCCCGGCTTAAATTTTAATTCTTGATTTAAAAAAGATTATTTAATTTATTTTATATATGTGAGTATACTGTAGCTGTCTTCAGACACACCAGAAGAGGGCATCAGATCCCATTACAGATGGTTGTGAGCTACCATGGAGTTGCTGGGAATTGAACTCAGGACCTCTGGAAGAGCAGTCAGTGCTCTTAACCTCTGAGCCATCTCTCCAGCCCTAATTCTTGATCTTTTGTTGAGTTTTCTTAGACTACTTTATTGTTTTTTGACATTCATTTATTTGGGGTGGTGGGGCATGCCTTGATCTATATGTAGACTTGGTTTTCTCCTTCCTCTTGCCTTGTGGCTCTGGTTGTCAGGCTTGGTGCTAAGCACTTTGACCCTTTAAGCCAGTGGTTCTCAACCTTCCTAGTCCTGCATCCCTTTATTACAGTTCTTCATGGAGTGGTGATACTCAACCATAAAATTATTTTTGTTGCTACTTCGTAGCTAATTTTTCTGTTTTTTAAATGAATTTTTTAAATGAATTATAATCTGTGTTTTCTAGTGGTCTTAGGTGACCCCTGTGAGAGACTACTTTAGGCCATGTCAGTGGCTCTTGGATTCTACTTGATATTTAGATACCATGAGTATCCTATTTCTCCCCTCCTCCAGTACATGTGCATATCTATGCAACATCTTACATGCATGTAATATTGGAACCCCAGAGAACTATGGACAGCAGATTGTGAATCCAGGGTTTACTTAATGTTCACTCTTAAATTTTAACTAATAAAAGTGCACTATTCAGTGCACTCAAGTTCTTTAACAGAGTAGAAAGGTAATTTCTTCCTTGAGTGCAGTCCAGGTATGCACATGACCTGCAGCCTTTTGCCTTATGGAGACACCCCTGTAGTAAGTGCTCTTACGGAGCTGAGATATGAACTTGTGACTCCTGCTCTTGGCTTGTGTCATGAGGCTGCAGTCTTGAGTAGCGAATCAGTATCTGTAACAAGAATGCTAAGTATTGTTAAACCTCTGAGGTTCTCATAAGTTATCCTCCACAGATGGAAAACCTCCGAAGACAGTGAAGGAAAAGAAAGAAAGGAGAACCCTTCCCGATGGTAAGCCCTTTGCTCACTAGGATCCTCTATGGAACGGACCGGTGTCACTGGCAAGTGCTGACAACTAGGTTGTGTCTCTGTTCACTTTTTTAAAGCATCTGAAAACACATTTTAGGTGCTAGGATGAAAGAAAGGCCAGTGAGGAGTAATGCTTGTGAGTATTAAGTTGCTAGTCTAACGTAGGCACTTTCTTTCTAGATTTCTTTTAGATGTGTAGGAATTGTGGGTTGCTAAAGTTTTCAGTGAAGATCGTATGTGACTCTTCCATATTAACTAGTGACATCTATGTGTTCCCTTGCCATGTTTCCATCTATAGGATTGTTGCTTAGTTTGGTTTTCCTTTCTCTGAATTTTCGCATGTGGCAGTTAAACTAAATTTTTGCTTCAAAGTCAGTCAAGAGATTGGACTAAAGAATCACTTTTGTCCCCAGACATTGCTCCTTTGAGGACGAGAGCCTTTGAGGCACTTCCCTGGATTCTTTGAAATCTACTGCTTTATTCTCAGTACTCCTTGTGAACTGTGGCTTTATTAAAGTCATGCCAATATGCTATAGAGGCAATCCCAGATACAGAGAAATCCCAAACCCATCTTTCCCCCTCTCATTCTTATATAGTTGAGGGAAAATATTGCTATGTAGTCCACGCTGGCCTTAATCCTACCATGCCCAGTCTGACCTTGAACTTTGATTCCTTAATCTTAGCCTCCTGACTGCTGGAATTACAGGCAGTGTGCCACCACCACAGGCTACACCAGTTTAACACTCCTTGTGCTATGTTACTTTCTGATAGATGAAGAAGACATCTTGTTCCCACCCCCAGCGTTGACTGATGACGACTTCTCACCATTTGGCTCTAGAGGTGGTCTGTTCAGTGATGGGCAGGGGCTTTTTGATGATGAAGATGAGGTGAGTTGGGCAATTGAGTCAAGCTCTTTGTGTCACTGAGCATGCAAGGAAGAAAGCCATGTTTTTGTTAGAGAAAAGAAGCTTCTTATTAGTTATGCCTTTCATATTTGGAGACATGTTAAAGTCAGAACCACAGAGTGAGAAATATTATCTATCCTGATGTCCTATTGTTTTTTGATGTGAGGAGAGGCTGTGGAGTATCAATAGTGGGTAATTTTCTTGAGTTACATATGTCGTCCTCTCCCATGTTTTTATTTAATCCCTGATGGGCCCAAATAAACATAATTTTGCTCTAGTCTACACCTTGCTATTGATTCTTTGGCAGGACAGTAAATATGTAGCTTCAAAGTATAGGATACTTCTCAGAAATCTTCAAGTTCAGCCTTGTTTACCTTTGCATTTTAAAATGATGCTATGCCTTACCACAACCAGAGTGACCTTTTCAAGGAAGCCCCCCGGGACCGGCAAGCACAGGCTTCTGTTAGTGAAGGTAGGTGTGGGAACACATGCTTCCTCCTCACTTGCTTTCCTCATTTGCTTTCTGTTTCTGTCATGACCAAAAGTAGCTTGGGGAGGAAAGGGTTTATGTCATCTGTGCAGCTTATAGTCCATCATCCTGGCTTGCCTTCCAGGCTCATACTTAGCTATTTTTCTATCTCTCCCAGGACCATCTAGCCAAGGGTTGGCACTGTATACAGTGGGCTGTGCCACATCAGTCATTAAGAAAGTGCTCCACAGACTTACCAATAGGCCAGTCTGATGGAGGTAGTTTCTCAACTGGGAGTTGTTCTTTCCAGATAACTCAAGATTGTATCAGGTTAACAAAAACTACCCAGGAAACATGTTCTAAAGCTCTTTCTATTGTGAGACAGAACGCCCAAAAGTTTATTTCCGTTAAGCTAAAAGCTGTTTTTGCTTGAAACAGTTGTAGACAGTTTGTCTTTACTAATTTTTGTCTTAGCTGTAGTTAACAGTACCATCTTCAGACCCATATCATGCATTTACCTTTTAAAGATGTTTTAAAAAAAAGTCAAAAGGAAAAAGGTTTTGGTAGTTATGCTGAGGCTAGCTTTACTATAATGACATTTAATTCACAGGAACATTGTGTTTAGAATATCACTTGGTCATCAGTAATTCATCAGAATCATCAGTAGGATTTTTTTTAAAAGCCCAAAGTAGTACACAATTTTTATTCCATTAGATTTAAAGTAGTTTTATTAATACTGTTCCCAGTAAAACAACTGGAAATAAGTTGTTTTAAATAATGGCCTCCCTTGTGTTCCATGTTGGAGTCATTCTCCTTTGTGATGTGTTCTATGTTGGGGCCATCTTCCTGTGTGATGTGTTCTGTGTTGAGGCTGTCCTCCCATGTGATGTGTTCTGGAGGCTGTCCTCCCGTGTGATGTGTTCCGTGTTGGGGCTGTCCTCCCGTGTGATGTGTTCTGTGTTG